GGGGGGGGCGCAGCGCCCCCCCCCCAGCAGCACACCAGATCCTAATAAAACAAGTGTTGGCTGCAAAGATGAGACTGCGCAGCGCGGATACTTTCAACAGGTTGATTGCTTTGTTGCTAGCTTGGTTGGTTCCTGTTCTTCTTCTGTGTTGTGGGTCGTGGCGATTGCGGTTGTGGTTGTTGTCGTTGCTGTTGGTTCTCGTTGCTGTTGTTGTGGATCCGAACTCGAACTCGAACTGGTCCACCCCCCCTTATAAGTCTCTTAGTCGCCGATCCGAACCCGAACTCGAACTCGAACCGGTCCACCCCCCCCAACTCGATAATTGTGTGTCGATCCGAACTCGATCTCGAAGTCGAACTCGAACTGGTCCACCCCCCTCTCGCTCGATCCACGCAATCTCGCGCATCGAACTCGAACTTGAACTCGAACTCGAACGGGATCAGTTAGAACTACCTGGGGCACGGCCTGGGCTCAAATGGAACTGGCGAGCTCTGTCGGCTCCAAACCCCTCAGGGAATGGGTTTTCACTGCATATTTGCTCAGATTCTTCTCAGCTCAGGAAAACTCATTCCACAAAGGCTTATTGTTCCTAGTAGCTTATTGTTACTAGTAGCTTCTTGTTGTTACTAGTAGCGATGCCCCTGCTAAATTCGATCGTGGCCTGACAGAAAGCAAGGTTCTCTTCGCTTCAGCTGTCAACGATCACATCAACGACGGGAACTTGCCGGTCCTCGTCGTGGCCTGGTAGCAGCAGTGCCAGGATGGAACCCTCGGGGTGGTGCTCAGCGATGCCCTTAGTTACTAGTAGCTTCTTGTTCCTAGTAGTAAGGCCAGGAGCCCCTAGCAGCGTCTTTGCTCCCAGTAGTAAGGGCAGGAGCCCCTAGTAGCGGGAAATGAACAGGGGCCTTGTTAAAGAGACCCAAAAGGGTTACTCGTGCGGAAGTTGGCTGTTCCTGATATATTCAATCTTCAATAACCTCAAGGTCGGCAAACAAGGGGATAGATGCCCTCTACTAGCAATGGCCTCCAACCTACTAGCGATGGGGATAGATGCCCCTCTATACTAGCAATGGCCTCCAACCTAAGAGTGATGGCCTCCAACCTACTAGCGATGGGGATAGTTACCTCTCTACTAGCAATGGCCTCCAACCTGAACCTAATAGGGATGGCCTCCAACCTACTAGCGATGGGGATAGATACCTCTCTACTAGCAATGGCCTCCAACCTAAGAGCGATGGCCTCCAACCTACTAGCAATGGGGATACAATGCCAGATGTTAATTGCACCAGCACATGTTCCTTTGTGCCATGAAGGGGATCCAAGGCCAAGGTGCTAAGATGGGCAGGGTGAGGATGAAGATAGGTCCATGTGTAAATCATTAGATTCTGCTTCAGACACAAGAGCCATAGCATAGCTCTTGAGGTGCTTTGAGCATCCTCAAGCCAAGGCTCTTGTGTCACTTGAGCCGACACGAGTTAGGCTGGCCTGGCGGCCAAATTCACACGAATAATCCATTCTAGGAGCCCCAACAGGTTCTGGAACCTATCTCCCCCATGCAATCAACAAAAAGACAGGAAAGGAAAAGGGAAGGAAACAAGAAAGATGTAAATGTAGAAACGACTATATACAATGAACTGACATACGATGTTTTCTCCTGTCTATCTGCCAACGGTCTCGAAACCATTTTGTCTCTTCGGTTAATCCTCCCTCTGACCGCTGAGGGGGAAGCTGACGATGCGGCCAAGAGATACTTTGGCTCGCTGTCCTTGAGCATGCTAAGTTTGTTCATGAGCAGCTCGGAGAATTTGGGACAAGACAGAAAGAAGGACGAAAGGTGAGCTATATACTAGTTTTCCTTAATGAGGAACCACGTGAATAGTGTGTGAGGTTTCCTGCGTCCTACTAGTAGCTACTTAAGCCTACTAACTACCTTAAGCTTAGTAGCTTACTTGTAAGCTTACTCACCTCTTAGCGGCCTACCCCTCCCTTCCAAAAACTTTCTATATATTTGTTGTTTTGAGCTTGCCCCTCAGGCATTGCCGGCGGAGTAAGCTGGGAGGAGGTGCTCGTTCCCTTGCAGAAGATCAACACCATTTGGGACACTTGCCAGAATCAAACAGGTTAACCGATGGAAAGAGAAATTCAGCGGAACAAAACACAGCCGATCTTGCAAGTTCTACAGGCAAAAGCTTAAGCCGTTTCCCACCTGTCAGGTGAGGGTTAGATTTTTATGTCATCTCACGCTCCTCCTTCTGCTCATCGCGTCCGTGTTCCCCACCGGACCTCAACCACAGCACACAACCACAACGCACACCACAAACACAACTACAAAGACACGATCACAAACACAGAGCCACAGAGACACATCCACAGCACACAACCACAAAGACACATCCACAGCACACAGCCACAACGCACAACTACAGCACCAAACCACAAAACACATAACCACAGACACAAACACACAACCGCTAACACACAGAAACACAAATACCAACATGTCAGACAATGTGGCAAGTAGAAGTTTAGATCATATACCAGATAGAATGTCGCATTATATGTCAAAGAAAGGATTTCTGTTGTGTCCTGTACACCTCTTCTTCCTTTGCCTCTACCGGACCAGACACCTGACAGGCGGCCCGCCGCTGTTTTGCAAGAATGTCAGTCACATCTGACAAGCAGCAGAAGGTGCCAGAAAGAATGCCGAAATAAAGTTTCAATATGTGCCAGAAAGTTTGTCAGATTGAAATGTCATGGTGGGGATCACTCGAAGTGAAGTAAGTTCTTTTTTACATGTTTTGCTGACCCAGGAAAACCTGTACTCAGGAAGTCGTGCCTTTTGAATGATTTTGCTTGTGATTGCTTTGTGCTTGGTCATCTTCGTTTTCAACACATATGTTTCCTTTCAAGATGCGGTGCCATGCAGTTCCCACCCTACTTCATATGGTTTTACCGCTGCGGTGCAAGGTCTTTGCCTTCTTATTCTATGTGGCATTTACATATTTTGCGGTATTAAATGAAGCTTGAATGCATTCAATTCGGTGACAGCCAGCTTCAAAAGTTGTGTTCACAGCTTCAAAAGTTGTGTTCAATGGCTTTGGTGTTTTGAAACATGCTGCGTGGTTTCATTCGAAAACCATCCGATCATCGAAAACAGGTAGTTACGGGCGTTTTTTGTCAGAGCACCTTGTCTGCAAGTAGCGTTGTTTCTTGGTTAAGTCTCATGGGTTCGTTGTTGTTTTCTTGGTTTCGCGGATGCATACTTTGACGTGTTTTGTTGGTCAGTGATGGGCGACCCCCGATGAGGTGCCATTGAAAGTGCAAGCAATGACCATGCAATGGTGGTGCAATCTATGCTGGATAACAAGGCACACTGCACTGGCCTTTATCAATGCCACGAAATGCAATGATCGCGGGTTGTGTGCAACAAACCCTCAGATCAGACCGACAAGTTGACTCAAATCCGACCCGTTTTTGGTTTCAATCAATGTCCAAAGTGTCATGGGTTTCCACAATGCCCGTAATTCTAGCCAACATGTTTTTTGCAAACAACATCAAGGAGTTGGCAGGATTTGTGTGTACTTGAACGAAGCCTTCGAATCAAACGAAGACCAACCATTGTGAATTGTGAGGATTGTATTGGGTTGTTTGGGAGGTACTCATCAAGCCCGAACGCGACAAACATCGTGTGTTTTTTGTCAGACATGTATTTTGACAATCCGCAATTTTATTGTTCAAAAATCACACACTGATTCATTATCTTCATGCATTCATTGCATTTCACCAATTTGCTGGCGCTCACACATGCATGCGGTTTCTTCATCAATTGTTGTGGTGTTTCTATTTCTGCCAGGGATTTGCAAGAAGAAGATTCGCACTCACAAAGTGCAGTTTTTCTGCATATCAGTGACTGAATGAACCAGGGATTAACACAGCCGCCACTGGCCACAAATAGATAGGTATGTTTCCAGCAACCACCACTCGCCAGTGCCACTTCACTGTGTGGTGATTCTTACTAGGCCTCACAGTATTTTTCGTCTTGAATCTCGCAGGCGGCGCATCTCAACAAGATCAAAAACCTGTTCAGTGAATTTGGCACCGACGGCGGAGTGCTAACCCTTGGAGCCTTGGAGTTTTGCTTTGTCTGAAGCTACGAACGTAACAAGGGCATCGCTACTAGTAGCTTCTTGTTACTAGTAGTAAGAATGCTCCTAGTAGCGATGCCAGGAGCCCCTAGTAGCGTCCTTGCTCCTAGTAGCAAGGCCAGGAGCCCCTAGCAGCGTCCTTGATACTAGTAGCGATGCCCTTGCACTTAATTAAGTAGGCACCTACTTAATTGACTAGTTTGCCTAGCTAGGACGCAGGATAGCTCACGCTTCCTTGAAGCGCTCGCACTAATGATTTGGGTCCTAGATTGTTAGGGACACTTAACTTGATGGCTAAAGATTCAAAGCTTGCATTGCCGTGGGTCCTATTTGGCGTTGGTGAACTGATCTAGTCTGACCAGATAGAATGGCTGGGAAGGACAACCCGAACCTGAGCACATCAGCCTCGTATCGAAGCGAGCGACGGACCCTGCAGCACGTCCTAAGTGTTCTGTGCCACCGGACCTAAGGGGCTGCCTCAACACATCATTGAGTTGAACAGCAATGCCCTTTGCTCCTAGTAGTAAGGCCAGGAGCCCCTAGTAGCGTCCTTGTTCCTAGTAGCGATGCCCTTGTTACTAGTAGCTTCTTGCTCCTAGTAGTATATAAATGTCAGTAATTGCCTCTTAAATTCCCACACGATTTTGCCCTCCACCTTTGAGCGATTTTTCAGGAACCTTCGAGGAGAAGATCAACAATCCGGCAGTGAGGGAATACTTTGAGGTGCGTCAAGGGCTTGAAATAGGACTGTTAGCCAGTTAGTTACTGTTGGTTGCAAGGACTTCGTTTGGTCTTGGACTTAATGACATTGATCGATCAGTTGTATCAATCGCTGGGTGGTTTTATCAAAGGAACAGAAGGAAAGAGGCTACATTCGGGGCTCCTGGCATCGCTACGAACGGAGCGATCCAACGCTACGAACGAAAGAGAACACTTTTGGAACTGATCGATCGCTGTGACGGTAGGCCTTGGGCCTCGATGTGTGGGACGCCTGGTCCTTCTTCAAACTTTTGGACGATGATGGCGGTGGGTCCGTCGAGATTGAGGACGAACAAGTGCATCGCTACTACTAACAAGTGCCTCGCTACTAGTAACAAGTGCCTTACTAGTAGTAACAATGTTTGCTATTAGAATTTAATTAACTAATAGCTTCTTGTTACTACTAGTAAGGCACTTTGTTACTACTAGAATTTAATTGACAGGAGTTCTTCATGGGCTGCTTGCGCTTTCGGGGCCCTGCTCGGTCGATGGATCTGGGCCGTGTGATTCAGGTGCGTCAGGGCTGGCGGTGGGCGGTGGTTGCCTCTCACAGCAAGGTGTTTTCATTGCCACGAAGGGATAGATATCAAACGTGTTGAGGAAAACATTGACTAGGAGATCTAGGAAAGAAGGAAGGAAAGAGAAAGGAAGGAGAAGAAGAGAAAAGGGAGAAAGGTTTAAAGAAAGAAAAACACAAGATCAGAAACGAAAAACAATGATGATAGTAGAGAAATAAACGCAGATAAGAAAGGTCAAAAGAAAAGATCAAAAGAAAACGTCACAAAAACAATAATGAATTATGGTTTGTCGAAAACACAGAATACAGGTAAGAAAAAGTCAGTATACCTAGGCCTCCGGACTAAAGGCATCCAGACTTGCAAGACTGTAGCCTCCAAGATAGCAGGCAGAAACAAGCGGTCAATATTAATGGCAAGAAACACTGAAACCACCTAATTACTTTTGTGTTCAACTAGTCCTTTAAACACTCCGAACTCTCATTCGAGCCTTTTTTGTGTGTTTGAAACACAGAAGAATCTAACCTTGCCAGGACCAGAAGTGGCTCATCAACAACCAAGGCGAAAGACGGTGGTCCGAGACGTGGCTTGATGTTTTGTACCAAGTGTGTTCCCATGACTTTGCCATAGGGCCACATAGGGCAAGGACCAGTCTTCTCCTTGGAAACTTCAGATGAAACTGCTCTCTTGGGCGCCTGGGGATTCGCAGCTTTGTTGCTTGGAGGCTCATTTGATTGCCGTTGGATGCACACCCCCACCCTCTGATGTTTGTGGCCTTGTGCAGCATTTTCAGGCCGCGTACAGAATTTTATCGAAGAAGAGTTCAACTCCTTGCGCTCCCAAATCCAAGACCTGCAAAATCTTGTGAAGAGGTCACTGGGCGAATTCAGAGACATGGACCCTCCGACCGAAACAGCTGGAGTAGGGGCTCCTGGCATCGCTACTAGGAGCAAGGACGCTACTAGGGGCTCCTGGCCTTACTACTAGGAGCAAGAAGCTACTAGGAGCAAAGGGCATCGCTACTAGGAGCAAGGACGCTCAACTCACAAGAACCTCGTCCCGTCCTTGCTTAGCAGGTTCTTTGTTTCCTCGTCAGTCAGAGAATCGAGAGACAGTGACAGTATTGCAGTTGTCACATGACCTGACAAGAGCCAATTGCCCATGTGCTGGCCTCGAACCTAGAAGCGATGGCCTCCAACCTACTAGCTGGTCTATGTAGAGTCTTATGTTTTCTTAAGTCTTGTCAGATCCAAGGTGAGCGCTGAATAAGCCGTCTGCTTAGTGGAATCGAAGCTGCTTGGATTGGCAAAGTGCCAACTCGCAAGCGAAAACACTTGAGAATCCAGGTGTTGTGGGGCAAACAGCGCTGAGCTTCAGGAGAGATTCCAGTTGTTTCCAGCCAAAAAAGATGCTTGAGAAACCAGGAAGGAGCTCCGGGGTGTTTGCCCGATCCTTAGATCTTTTTGCCCGGTGTTCACAGACGCTCCAAAGATGCTTTGCTTGCCATACTTGGCTTTCTGTTCAAGCGCTTTCTACAGCCCTGTTTTGGCGCCGACCAGTTCCCAACCGGGAGAGAGCAAGGCATCAGGTCTGAGCACGAGGCATAAGGTTGGGCGTTTCAGCCTTGTGAGTTCTGCGTGTGCGGCCAGGGTTATGCTTTGGCTTTGTCCATCAAGCAGTGCACGATTCCAACATCAAACAAGATGCCCCCACCTAATGCACCCAACTCCTGTTTTTTTGGTTCTTGTAGGGGCTCATTTTGGTAGCAAAGTATAGACTGTTACATGTGATGCTGCATGTTTGATGGATGAGCTTGGCTCATGGCATGCCATTGGGCCGAGCAGAGCGGTGAAGAAAGACGGTCGGTTCCCCCAAAGGGGGGCGCGACCAGATGTGCCTAGCGCAGATGAGCAGAGCAAAGGGATCCATTGGCGGCTGATGTGCTCCTTGTTGTATGAAGCCTGCGAAACTGGTGATATGATCATTCAACATGATGATCGGTGAGGGAATGAGCTATTCTATTCTTAGACCTCTGAAGGCCACAGAGGAAGGTTCCTACGACCATTGCACGACCACCCTGACATTACAAGGCTCTTCCTTGGTACTCCAGAGGAGCTCTACCGGAAGGCAACCCGGTGAAGGGGGATGGATAGGGATGGACTGAAGGGGACTTGTGTGTGGAAACATGCTAGGCCTCCGCAATTGTCGATGTCCCACCCTCATGAGGTTGGACATTAAAACTAAACTTTTTATTTGATTCTAAATAGATTCTAATAGCTTCTTGTAACAATGTTTGCTATTAGAATTAATTTGATGCCACGCTACTAGGAACAAGTGCCTTACTACTAGTAACAAGAAGCT